GCAAGGGTTTTCCGAAAATGTTTGAAAAGGTGGTAGTCGGTTGGTGAAAGGTCTGGAGAATATGGCGAGTGAGGGAACTTCAACCCCCAATTCGTTCAATTTATGGATAGTGATTTGTGAAACGTGTGGGCGGGCGTTGTCATGCAAAAGAATCGGACCCTTTCTTTTGATAAGTGTTGGCTGCAGCTGACAAAATTTTCGGTACATTTCGTCGATTCCTTCACAGTAGGGTTCTGCTGTGATGGTTTGGCCTGGTGATAAAAAGTTATAGTGGATCACACCAGCCGATGACCACCAAGCCGTGACCAGAATCTTTTTTTCGTGAGGGTTCGGCTTTGAAAATTACCTCGGTGGTTCGTCGAAATCCAACCACTGTCCGGAACGTCTCCTGTTATCATACATGACCCATTTTTCATCACAGGTGACAATTCGGTCCAAAAACAGGTCGTTTCTGCTGCGCAAAAGCAATGCAGAAGGAACCTCGAGACGTGCCGATTCCTGCCGGTCACTCCGATTGTGGGGCACCCAATTGTCGAGTTTTTTCACCTTCCCAATGCGTTCCAGACCATCTGCAACAGTGGATTTGCCAAGGCCTAGCTCTTCTGCTATCTCTCGAACTGTTTGGGATGGGTCAGCCTCCAAAATCCCCTAAAATCCTCGTCAGATATTGCTTTAGGTCGACCGCTCGACCGCTGAGGTTCATCTTCAAGGCTGAAATCTCCAGAACGAAATTTGTTGAGCCATTGCCGCACAGTGCTTTCTCTAGCACTATTGGGCCCCCACACCTGGTTAATTTGTTGAGCTGTTTCGATTGCGGATTGCCCCAATTTATAGTCGAAGAAAAAATCGTCCGAAGTGCTCTTTTCACATGCTTGAAAAATCTTAAAAAAGGGGTTCATCAAGCAATGGTGAAACGGCAGTTATACCATCAGATAGCGCAAAGAATTCTCTTCAGGATGTACTACTGAGACGCAAGGGAGAATGAGTTTTTAATCAGCAATGAATGTGCAAAAAATAGTAACACAAAACCTGCAGAACTTTCCGGACAACCTAATACTTTTCAGATGTAAATTACATTCCTGCAAGGAGAATATCTGAATGAAGCCCCATTTCAGATGGCGATTGGCTGTAGCATTTACCAGGAAAGTCTTTACACTTTCAACTTATAAAGCGCCTTCGTTTTTTGCATGATGAAGAGATACAGTTTATAACACCGCGACCTGTCGGGTCGCAATCAGTGGTTCCCACCTGCGGCCTTCCCACCAGTAGCTGAGTGGAACAAGAAAATGAATCATTTTTGCTGAGCGGTCCCAGGAATGATAAAAAAGAGTGGAAATAGCTCACAGGGGACAGCCTGGTGAGGTCCTATAACTGGCGGACTCATTCAGCTACTCGCAGTAATGGGTAACGAGGTACGCCTTTGCTGTAAGTACACACTAAAGTGCGGTCCACGGCAGCGTTCAGACTTCGCGACGGGTCAAATCCCGGACCGGTTCCTCCTAGACGCCACATCACAACCACACGCCCACAGTCACAACGACGCTGGTGCTGTTATCGCTTCACTTATGACGTACAATCGATACGAAACGTTATTACATGAATATATAAGTACGTGCATTTATCATAGCGTTTCTTAGCACAATTCCAACGAGAAACTCGTACAAAAGTGCTCGATGAGGCGGTGCAGATGGATGCTGTTTCAGCAGGTTTTTGGCCATTCCATTCTTTTTCGTCGTTTCCTTCCTATATACCTTCTACTATTTTTGAGCGAGTACCAAATTATCGTACCTTATGCCCTTAATTTGTAAACTGGCTCATGGTCGGGGAATTATAAGAACTTTGACAGTGGTCAATTGCCTTTTGTGGAGCAGCACGGCCAAAGTAATCTAATGCCTCATATTTCTACAGTGACGGCTTCCTCAGTGACAAGATCAATGCAAGTTGACTTGACTACTTTGTGCACTGTGACGAACCTTTAAAAAGTGGTGGTCAATCTAATCGTAAGCTATTGAGCCTTATGACATTAATTACCTCGAATTTTTTGTGAAGTATTGCAGCGAGCATGGAGTTGCATTACACAGGGCAGCGTTCCGACTTCGGGACGGCGCGTTCGACGCAGTCGAATCAGCCAAAAGCATGCGCGTCGATCGAATCGCGCGACCAAAGCGCTGCTGTCGCGAAGTCTGAATGCTGCCTACCTCCTTACCCCTGGGACGGAGTAAGCCTGACATTCCAACATGGTGTAGGATGGCTTACTCTCGTGACATTTCAGTTTTGAACAATTGTCATTTTTCCTGTGTTGGATAAAGACTGTTCTTAAATCACAGTACTTCTCCAAAAGGTTGACCGTTGCCACGTTCAGTTCAATTATCAGCCAGATCTACACCATCGCAGTAATTTTTGGTGCGTGTTTGTTGTTCTTTACTTCTTCAATAATTTTTAACACCTTGATTTATTCCTTTGTTGACAATTTTCGCTCAGGAATGGGATCAGCGTGGAAGCTTGAAGGCTTGTTTGTAATATGGCGCTGTAAGCCACTCATATGTGTTTCGCTCAACGAAGCAATGTGATTTATTATTACTTTTGTCGTGATTGTGATCTTGAGGAGTACGTGCATGCAGCTTTGAGCAACACCGGCCGAACCGGCGACAGAGTTTTGAGAATTGGTTGGAGAGACACGTAGCCCTTCAACAGCGTTCTCTTCTCCGTTTCATTAATAGCCAGGTGGTGTACGGGGCTCAGGACAGTGGTCGCATGAGCCTTCTTCTCCTGAAAATTATGAGGGGTAATGTCACAGCTAGTTATTGCATCAAATCATTTCTAGGAATTCACTCACCAAATGGTCCCATTGGTCCCTGTGGTCCCTGTGGTCCAGGAGCGCCAGCTGGTCCTGGATTACCTGGAGCACCAACTGGTCCCTGTTCACCAACTTCATTAACTCCGTTGACTCCGGGCAATCCTTTGGGTCCAGGTGGTCCCTTAGGTCCTGGAGGACCAGCCGGGCCAGCAGCTCCATTAACCTGAATAACACGTCCAGGTTGTCCTTGTGGTCCAGGAGGACCGGGTTCTCCAACGGTTCCGGGTGGCCCTGGTGGACCAATCATTCCTGGCTCTCCTGGTTTTCCATCGGCGGCGCGATCTTGAGATTTGCCTTTTGGTCCAGGTGGTCCTTTTGGTCCTTGCATTCCAACTGCACCTGGTGGTCCCATTGGGCAGATGATGCATGGTTCTTGAGGAGGAAGAGCCGATGAGAGCACGGAACCTTCCTTTCCTGGGGCACCATGTGCACCAGCTTGCCCATCGTTTCCTGGATGTCCATCGTCTCCCGGTGGACCAGGAGGGCCAGCAGGACCTGAAATACGAAACTGAGATTTGGTTGTGAGCACGAAAAGTTCAGTTCATACCTTGTTGGCAAGGACAGCAAGTTGGTCCAATGTCGATGGAAGTAGCTCCAGCGCTCACTAGACCGACATTGCCCAAAGGTCCACCGTTAGGGGCGTTAGCGAAGGGAACACCAGCATTACTTCCGCTTCCACCCCTTCCATCGCTTCCACCGTTTCCACCAGAAGCAGATGTAGGACCGCCTGCATACTGTCCTGCAGATGTAGGGCCGCCTACATACTGTCCTCCACCGCCGGCTCCACCATCTGGGACAAATTGTCCGAACAACCATGTTCCGGAAGCTTCTCTCTTAGATCGAGGAACGCCGGACTTATGCAACACTTGCATCTCCACCCACATGTCTCTTGCTCGACTCTGAATGAGGTATATCGTATTCAATATGAAAATTCTTTATTTGAATATTTTAGAGAGAGTGGCTAATTCCATACTATGAGAAAGAGCCCCTATTGACCAGCCTTGCTCTATGAAACAGCTGCTGAGTGACACTCCAGACATACGTAATCTTTTGACTGTAACTGATTCGCAAATAAAAAAAATATTTCTGAAAGAAGCTAAAGAAGCATTACCTTGCAGTACTCCGTTTCGACGATGAGGTGACTTTGGAACGATTGGACATAGCTGTAGAGCATGGGCAGTGTGACAACACTAGCGATTACGGCCGCGGTGGAGATGACGACCGCGAAAAACGCGACGCGGCGCATCTGGAGCTGCTCCTCGGTCTCCTTCTGTTCCATCGTGCGGCGATGACGATCCACAGTCGTCTAGTACGGTCTTTTATACTCCTGTGATGACCAGAATAAGTGAGATCGAGAATAACTGGTATCGCCGACCATTCTCACCCGCCTCCACACAACATCCCGGAAAGCAAGAGTGGCTGCGCCCGATCATCGCGTACTAGTGAAAGTGAACAATAAGCTGCGAAATGTTCGTTATCAAGGTTACCAGGAGGTGTTACATACACAAGTGCTGGATTCCATCACCTGCAAGTCACACCATTCCTTCTCGATCCTCTTATGCATTGAATAGCTCGAGTTCCGGGTGGGAGGACGGTGCATAATTTGTACTAGAGATTGGTTGCTTCGACTTTATTTCCATTTTCAGCGTCACATCGAGGCAGATCTAACCTACTTTTCAATAAAAGGTTTTCATTCATCAACTTGAAAGTATTGCGCGATTATCAGTAGAGCAGTTCTCATTATTCCCTTGGCGGAAATTCCATACATTTTATTTCGCAATAAATTCGAGGAATCCTCAACGGAAGGATCGTATTTGGACCTTGTGCAAGGGGGGGGCGTAGACAGTATTCGGGAGTCGGTAGTCAGGAGAGTTGCGACAAGGTGAGTCAGTTGAGGATAGAGGGTAGAGGCGTGGAGGCGATGCCTATAAGTCGGGTCTAGTGTGAAAGACCCAATTCAGTGAGAACACTTATACTATACACTCTCCAGTTCTGTAAAAGAAGTCTTTCGCTAAGAAGCGGATCTCGCAGTTCCCTATATTTTCACTGCTCTTTTAAAAGGCCTATGCTGTTGAATAGTGAAGGTCTATTGCCTTTATTTGATTCAGCTACTCCCACCCAGGGTAGATGCAGCGCATGGCCTATGAAAAAAATGAAAACAGAGTCACACAGCTGATGACACAAATAAAGAATAAAATGATTGTTAAAAAAACGGTAAACACTGAACATATTCAGTTATTCGCCTTTTCAAGGACGCTTATTTTTGCACGGAGGAACAACCTTTCCGCTCCACAGAAATAATGCTCAGTGACGCAAGCTGGCGGACTTTTGCGAGTGATGGCTTCTCCATAACGCAGTTTCGCGCTAGTCTTGTTTTGCCACCGGATAGCGCTTCATAACAGTGTCCCCCATTACCCGGTTGGTCGTTGATAGTAGTAAGTTAATCAGTATAGTCAAAATATGTAGCTAATTCTAAAATTCCAGGCTGTCTGATCTGGGAGGTCCATAGCCATGAACTGTCAGGTTGTGCTCATCTTTATTGAATTTCATATGTAAGTATTTTATTTAGTTCAGACTTGCTAGAAGCTCTTATATAGCAGTCCTGTTGGATACTCCTAAGAAACTCTGCAGTAATAAGAGGCTGAAATACCACAAAAGGCTTAGATTTTTCCAAAAAGTGTCACAGAACGTTTCATCAGGCCTAGCAGGGGACCTCGCCGTATCCTCCTTTAGTATGGGATAGCCGAACACTATCACATCTGGACCACCTTAGCTTCAAAGGACAACAGAAAAGTGCTCAGTTTGGCTGCTCGTTACTGTCGCTCAAGCTTTCCTCCTAGGTCAAGAAGCTCGTCCGCGCTCGGAATCCTCTCTAGGTCATCATTATTTCGGGAGAGTCGGTGGTAAGAGGAAATATTCGCTTAAACATATCTGCAATAGCGAAGCTATTGTGCAGTGGCAAGCAATTTTATCCTGTTGTGAGATCATATGAGCCAGTGTTTTCGGTACCTAGGGCAGCTGAAGCAAGTAAATAAGATCAGGCTTTGGTTCTGAGTAACGGAGAGGAGCCTTCACGCCAGCATTCGCCCTTTCGAGGCTTAAATTCGCATTTGACAACTGATTCCCGACTCGTCATAGCGGGTGGTCATATCCAAACTTCTCTCCGCACCCTTGCTGAAGTTGACATCTACCGTGGGCAAAACCATCATCGATTCGTTGACAAGCCTTTGATAATCGCGGGGCATTCTCGTTTGTAAAACCGGAACTTCGATTCCGAGACACTACTCAGACCTCTTTCAGAAATTATTCACCAGTGGAAACTAACGATTTTTTATGGTGCGATTTTGCGCCTAGTTTCTGACAAGGACTTGTGCAGCTCTTCTCGGCGAGAGGAAACCTATTCTCAAAACTCAACAAAAAGTTCATTCTCCCAGGCTACTTTAATTTGGCGATAATTGCGCTCTTGGGACAGCCCTCGACTGTCTATGAAAATTACATTTGCTTCACTATCACCCTTCACTTGTCGTCTTGTTGATAACTGGATTTTTAGACAAACGCTAGCGACGTTTCCCTACTGCAGTCCGGATTACTGCGATGAACCCTCCTCGCTCAGGACGTAAAGCCACTCTTGCTTTCCTGCAGAGTTACCATGAAGAAGTCTGGCTAGCGTTTGACTTGGTGTCTTGATATACAGCGGGATCCGCTCCTATCGAACGGTCATAGCCATATGACAATAAAGAAAGATATCTCCTGTATGCATCTATGCGGAATCCCCAATTGGCAATAGCAGTGTTGAATTATCGCTCGAAAGTTGCTGGATGCTCCAATAACTACGGTACTCTTTTGAATTTTTTACCAAAACAGGATGTAATAACGAGTGTGGCAGAAAAATGCGATATTTCACCTTTTATGGGATACGTTCTCCCATGATAATGATAACCATATGATCATTACGAAGTCCAAAAATGGGTTCCTAAACTAATTCTTTAATGCGTGACATGGCGCTCGAAACGCTTCTGGATCGGATTCAAGTTCGCAAACTGGTATCTTGATTAGGTCGAGCATGCGTTGGTATCGATAAGCTGTTCGCTGTCACCATGAAGAAGATCGTTTCTTCTGGTCTGTGAAGGGAAAATCGGTGGAAAGTGTGGGAAGGGGAGATTTTGGTCCACTCCGCTTATTCTTTCGCCTTTTTCTCAGAGCACTTTTGAGCATATGTGAATTATTTAGGAAATAGAAAAAGTGCTGAAGCACCCTTGCTAGGCTTTATTGTGAAGCTTCTACAGAGCTCGGCTTGACTTGAGTGGTCTCGCAACCAGGACGACGTTGTGTGTGAGCTTCCCATTTTATGTGAACTGAAGTGCAACAAACTGTATGTAGTGAACGATTTATTGCGAAAACCAATAAATTAAGCACGGAGATGCCTCTCCGTTTCCACTCAGGCTCAGTAGCCAGGTGGAGTGCGTGGTGTTGGGCAGTGGAAGCAGTCTCCATCGGGTCCCTTTGATCCGAGTCCTCCGGGTCCACCGTTCTCTCCCTTGCGTCCAGGACGTCCCTTCTTTCCTTGGTCTCCAGGTGGTCCCTGAGGTCCAGGAATGACGCCTCCAACACGTCCCTTAGGTCCGCGTTCTCCTTTGCGGCCCTTAGGACCAGGGGGTCCAGGTGGTCCTGGTGGTCCGTTGACGTTGATGACATGTCCGTCTTCTCCCTTCTTTCCTTTTGGTCCTGGTGTACCGGGCTCTCCGCCAGGTCCAGCTGGTCCGACCATGCCGGGCTCTCCACGACGTCCATCAACTCCAGAAAGTCCAGGAGTTCCTCGTGGTCCTTGAGGTCCCTTGGCTCCAGCATTTCCTGGTGG